GGGGTTCTGGGATCGAGTCCCACGTCAGATTCCCTGCTCAGTGGGAAGTTTGCTTCTCCGTCTGCCCCATCCCCCTCTCAAATAAATAAATAAAATCTTTAAAAAAAAAAGATGTTTGGATAAGAAAGGAAGACAGGATAGTAAGTAAGAGTTCAGGATAAAAAGGAATCCTTTTCAGGAGGGGAGGGACTTGAATAGGTTTTCTGGCTAAAGGGAAGGAGTAACTGGAGATGAGGAGGTTGAAGAGTCTGGAAACAGAGGTGTCATAAAAGAGCAAGAATCCAGGAATGCGGACGCCTGGATGGCTCAGTCAAATGGGCATCTGTCTTTGGCTCGGGTCATGAACCCGGAATGCCAGGATCGAGCCCCGCGTCAGGCTCCCTGCTCAGAGGGGAGCCTGCTTCTCCCTCTGCCTCTCACCCAGCTCGTGTTCTTGCTCTCTCTCTCAAATAAATGGATAAAATCTTTGAAAAGAAAAAAAACAAAGAACCCAGGAATGGTAAAATAAACAGAGTCAAGGGCATGATGGGAGAAGTTGGGATTCAACCGGAAGTGAAACATCCCATCTACTAAAACCAAAGGAAAGAGAGTAATGATGGCAAGGGGAAGATAAAGTTGTAGGTAAGGGAAGGAGCAGATAGTTGATGATGGGAGACCATTCCCAATAATTAATTTTCTCATTTGTCATTTTTCAGTTATTGTCACAAATAGCTGGAAAGAAAAGTGACTCTTCAAACTAAATCCAATTTCAATGGTCACATATAAGGAATAGATGAAATTACACAGTATTAAGAGTCAAAGAACGAGTTAGAGACAAAGTATGTTCTATGTTATTTTACCAAAGACAGTACAGTATGTATTTCTGATCAGCTCCAACAACCCAAACACAGTAGGAAAAAAGATCTAGGACGAGAGTTGGCAATGTTTTTCTATAAACAACCAGAAAATATTGTTTGGCTTTGCAAGCCATATAGTCTCTATTAACAACTACTCAATTCTATCGCTGTAGCATCAAAGTGGCCAGAGACAATACATAAATAAACAGACATACTGTGTTACAATAAAACTTTATTCACCAATGAGTGGATCTGGCCCACAGGCCTTAAGTTTGCTGACCCCTGTTCTCTAGGCTGAGGACATTGCCAAGGAAATGAAATGGTAGAAAGAAGCCTAAGTCAGGAGCAGGAGAATGAAATAAGAAAGTAGACACAGGGGGCGCGTGGGTGGTTCAGTTGGTTTAGCATCTGCCTATGGCTGAGGTCGTGATCCCGGGGTCCTGGGATCGAGTCCCGCATCAGGATCTCTGCTCAGCGGGGAGTCTGCTTCTCTCTCTCCCTCTGCCTGCTGCTCCCCCTGCCTGTGCTCTCTCCCTCTCTCTGTCAAATAAATAAATAAAATCTTTAAAGGAAAAAAAAGAAAGAAAGGAAAGGAAAGGAAGGAGCCACAGAACTAAAATGTAGTTGAGTTGGGGTATTTAATCAAAGAGCAAAATAAGAATAAAGGAACAATAGAAAAAGGAGAAAGAGAGTAAAGGAGAAAAGCAGACGAAGAAACACTGGAAAGAAAAAGGAAACCAGGTAAAAAGTGAGTAGAGATAATACCTCAACTCCAAGGTAGAAAGATGCAGAGAGAAAAGCAGCTTTATGCCCTAAAGAATAGGTGGCAAAAGGAAGCAGGATGAAAATGAGAGCATCCCAGGTCTGTCTGCAATGGAATTCAGATAAAGGATAAAACACATACTAATTTTCCAGTGATAATCTGATGGTCTAATTATGGGTGTGCAAAAAGAACCCACAGCTTACAAAATGTAGTTATTTTTCATTTTGCCCACAAATCAATCTGGTAACATACACAGCATCCAAGAGATCAAATGAAACTTATTCACGATATCATAAAAAGAAATCAATTATTTCTAGGCCTCTTATTCACTTGCATACGCATATGAATGACTTTAAAAACATATTAAAATGAAAAACTTATTAAAATCAATAAAAGTCAGCATTAAGAAGTTAAAAGCCATAGTAGCCTTTTAAAAGTTTCCCGAAAAATAAAGCCAGATTTAAAAAAGAAAAGAATCTTGAATAATATAATAATTTGTGTATTTATATTATATAGGAATTTTGTTTCCTTTTGGCTTTATTTGTAGGGAAACCCTTTAAAGTAAATGCAGATTTATTCTGACATAGCTAAACAACAAATTAGACCACATAATTTATGTCACAATAGTACAATGTTTAAGAACATGATTTGGGTGGGGGGGTGCCTGGGTGGCTCAGGTCATGATCCCAGGGTCCTGGGACTGAGTCCTGCATCAGGTTCCCTGCTCAGCAGGGAGCCTGCTTCTCCCTCTCCCACTCCCCCTGCTTGTGTTCACTCTCTTGCTGTCTCGCTTTGTCAAATAAATAAAACCTTTAAAAAAAAAAAAAAAAAAGAACATGATTTGGGGGTTAGTGGGTGCTGGGTTTGTGTCCTCACTTTACCAAATTACTGGACTGTGTCTTAATTTTTGTAATTAATGAACCATGCCAATTAATTACTCTAAAAATGTTTCCCCTATACTAACATTATCTCCAAAATAATACTTACAGAGGGCAACTTCTGCCAGGATAGTATTAAAAACCTGGCTTAAGAGACCTGAAATCCTAAACACATGATTTAATACTATTTTCAGGATACTATGCACTGGACACAATTGTATAATTCACTAAACCCCTACAGTCTTTAAAATAAAATACCCGGGCACCTGGGTGGCTCAGTCGTTAAGCGTCTGCCTTCGGCTCAGGTCATGATCCCAGAGTCCTGGGATCAAGTCCCGCATTGGGCTCCCTGCTCCTCGGGAGTCTGCTTCTCCCTCTGCTTCTCTCTCTGTCTCTCATGAATAAATAAAATAAAATCTTTAAAATAAATAAATAAAAAATAAAATACCCAAAATTACTCCACTATGGGATATCCTCAGCAAGAAAACTGTGTTTTTATGTATATAGCAAAATACATCCAGCCCATTACGAGTGTACTGAACACTGTCAAAGCTGTCGCTCTGAACTGTATGTTCTTGGCTTTCTACAACGAACACAAATTACCTGAGAAATAAAGACATATTAAAATAAAAAATTTAAAGACATTATTTTGAAGAGGATCAAAGAATGGGATACCATAGATATTTCCAAGTAATATTTATCTTTCCAAATTTGGGAAATGCCAATTCACTTTAAAAACAAAAAACAAAGTCTACTGTGAATGGCTGTTAGCTAAACGGCCTGGTACCCAACAGAGTAAGGAACATTTTGTTGTTGTGTCCGATACTTTTTCTAGAGTGTTATGTACTAAATTCAACTGAAATTGTATTTTCCCTTTCAGCTTATTATCCAAAATTAATTTTTAAACTTAAATCAGTAAAATACTTCAACAGTATAAGCATAAATAAAATTTTGTGGTCCTAGGCATAAACAAGACCAACTCCTAAGGCAGCAACTAAAAAAAGACTTGTTTCCTTGTATGGGCCATTGAAGGGCTCTTAGACAAAGAGTTGTGAATCAGAGACACAGACATTTGAGAAGGTACAAAAACAGAACACAGTGCTTTCTTCAGCACGGCAAAGCGGTTAAAGGTACCTAGCACTGCTAGCTTCTGAAAAAAACAAGCTAACTATAGGTAAGAACCTTGTTAAGGGTCCAAGAGAAAGGCTTTAACTTTCTGGTGGCTTGTATTTCTAAATAAGAGTGTTGAAAAATGAACACAGCAACAAAAACAGCTACTGGTATAGACTGAATAATGAAAATCAAGAATTGTGGTGAGTCAAAATTCACAAGAGAATGAACTACAGAATTTGACCAGAAAAATCAATTTTAAGAATTTTAGAACCAAGTTCAAAATTGCCCAGAAGAACCTTTCAACATGTTATGAATACTCAACACTGCAGAATACGCTCTCTGAACAAGTAACAGCAATTCCCGTATTTCCCTCCTCAGTGGACACTTGAAACAGACTAAATTTTAATGTAACTACAACACCCCTTTTATATTTTCAAAACATAGTCCCATACTCTGAATTTTTTAAAAAAATATGCATGTTCTACTTCTTTACCTTTTTCATCTCCATTAGAAGATCGTTTTTCCATCCACAGCTTTCTGCCTTTCTCCCTTAGACCTGTACTTTATTTCCAGGTCACAAAACTAAAATATTTATAGAACTATAAGCATAATAAAACTAGATAAGCATTATTTATAACCATTTTAAAACTAAAAATTTAGGGGCGCCTGGGTGGCTCTAGTTGTTAAGCGTCTGCCTTTGGCTCGGGTCATGATCCCAGGGTCCTAGGATCGAGCCCCCATCGGGCTCCCCGCTCAGCGGAAAGTCTGCTTAGCTTCTCCCTCTCCCACTCCCGCTGCTTGTGTTCCCTCTCTGTCAAATAAGTAAATAAAATCTAAAAAAAAACAAACTAAAAATTTATAAAGGACTGTAAGCCAAATAGGACAAGAAATTGCAGTTGAGTATAACCTGTAGCATTCTTGACCATGAACTGTAGAAAATTCTCTACAAACTTTTTTTTTTTTAAAGATTTTATTTATTTGACAGAGAGAGACACAGCGAGAGAGGGAACACAAGCAGGGGGAGTGGGAGAGGGAGAAGCAGGCTTCCCGCTGAGCAGAAAGCCTGACGCGGGGCTCGATCCCAGCACCCTGGGATCATGACCTGAGCAGAAGGCAGACGCTTAATGACTGAGCCACCCAGGCGGCCCTCTTTACAAACTTTTTTAGTAGAACACAAACTCTCATTATTTATCCTACTAAAAGTACCAAGGACTCCTCCTCTGAAGTTTTAAATATTTTCCAACAAAAATGCATTAAAATTCCCGTCTGTCTTAATCAGGTTATTCTAAAAAGAAAAAAAACAAAAAAACAATTTCTTAAAAAAAAAAAGGTCTGTATAATTGATGTATAGAGTCTTTGTTTAAATAAATCTTATAAACCATGAAGCGTATTTAGGAAATAAAAATTCACCTCTTCTTGCATAACTGGAGTCCATATCTTTAAACTGTACCACAACAAAGTCTGAACACTTGAACAAAATACTCTCCATTATTTCTTCACGTTTTGGCCCCGAACTGGATTCCATAGTTTTCTCATGTGCAGCATCAAGTACCAAATCACACTAAAATGAGAAGCATGAGTAAATATTCAAAATATTTATAAAATAAAATATGACAGGGATTCTTTAGCACATCAAGGTACTATTTCTTACAGGTCTTTGACAAAAATAATCTAGGTCAAAAGCACCTTATAATCATACCTTTTTCTTGGAAATATGACCTATTATCTATTCCATCATTCAAAAATCCTCTTATCTAAAAGTTGATCCTTGCTACTATAGTCTGTTTTAAGTATATTAATGGTGATAAAGAAGAAAATAATGAACCACTCAATCCCTCTTCTAGCCCCCAATGCTTGAAAAGGTCAAGATATTTTAATAAGCACACAGAGCAAGTTTAATTATACAAACCAGTCTATAAAATAATCAGTATTTGAAACTGAAGAGCAAAATCAGTCAAAGTGGTTTTAAAAAGTGCTGTAAAGAACATGAAAATGTGACAAGCATGCCCACCTCACAACTATAAATTGCTAAATCAGAAACTAATAGACAGTGTCAGGAAGCCATACAAACATACAGTAGTTGATGATTCATGGGGTTTTAGATGTAACAAAAAGGAAAAGAGTAAAAATTACCTTAGGACTGTATGTTTTAAAAACTCCTTCATATATACCTCCGTTTTTCACTTGTACTTCACATTTGGATCCCTAAAAACATACAATTAATTTATCAAAGAAACAGTGTGCTACCCAGTCAGGAGGGGTAATTGTTTACATTTTACTTTTTATATAGCTCACCATGCTTCATTCAGCATATTAGGTAGTCACTGACAGAACAATAAAAAAATTCTAAAACATTAATACACTGAATTTTCAAAACTCCTCAGGAGGCCCTGCTCAGAGTTTGCAGTATGAATTTAAATACTGAAGTTAAATATTTCTGATTCTGGATTTAATAGGTGACAAAATAATGCACTAAAAACAATCAACTACTACTGTTATTTTATACACAGCAGGGTTAACAAGAATGCTTTTTTATAGTGAGTCACAATAGTTTGAATGGAGTTCTATTTTTTCTAAATAATCCTGATTAAATGTGACCTAACTTTGAGAATCATTCATCTACATTTTAACATCATGAAATTACTTTACTGCACTCCCAAGGCAGTTTCTCCCCAATAATCTGGTAACTTACAACAACTGACGTAAGTATATGAACCATCCTCATATTTGCATAAATTCCATCAAAAGAAATCTGGAATATTAAGAAAAAAACATTATTAGCAATCAGTATTTATCCTTGTCTATATATGAAAGTTAACATTTATTTTGTTACAAAATGCTATGTTTATAATACCTTACACATGCATTAAAGAAAGACTTGATTTACTATGATCTTGTTTCTTTAGAGAACAGAAGCTTAAGTTTTCAACAGTGAAAACAGTCATACCATCTAACAATGTTTTGACTACATGTGATACAAAAAAGCAAGTGAACTTCCATATATGAGGAATGACAAAACCACAGAAACAGAGGACAGATCAAAGGTTGGGGAGCAGAGGGAGGAGGGATCACTACAAAGCAGCATAAGTGATTTGTTTCAAGGTGAGAGAACTGTCCCGTTATCTTGACTGTGGTGGTGGTTACACAACTGTATGCATCAAAACTCAAAGACCTGAGGGGCGTGGGAGGGATGGGGTGGCTGGGTGATGGACACTGGGGAGGATATATACTATGGTGAGTGCTGTGAATTGTGTAAGACTGATGAATCACAGACCTGTACCCCTGAAACAAATAATACATTATATGTTAATAAAAAAAAAAACTCAAAAGACCTGTACACTAAATAAAGTATACATAAATAAATGGGGTGGAGGAGTGTGCACCTTTGTCAAAAACCCTTGACTATCTATCTTCTCTTAGCATATATGAATCAATGATAGTGCTCTTAGGTCTCATCAACCACACCACTCCTTACTACATACTACATAAGCATGTGTCCTTCTGATTCAAAATAAGAATATCTGTCCAGTAATGGCAAAGTCTGAAAGATCAATGACAGTTTCACATTTATTTTTTCCATCACAAGAAACTGCCCTTCATGCCGTTTAATTTTCTTGATAAAGTTCTAAAATTTAAAACCAGAAGGCCTTTTTCAAGGGAGAAAAATGGAACGACTTAAAAGAGGGCATTAATTCAAAATCAAAACCCCAAAGAACTTTGCAAACTCTAGTCCTGGTGTTATACTTATTTTTTTGGGGTGTTATTCATTTAGATTTGCTTTTAGCCGTTTATAAAACAACAAATGACTCATTACTTTGCATGAAAAATACTATTTACAGATTATCTGACATTTTATATGTAGAATCATCTCAAAAAATAACACATATAGCTAATAATTTTATACCAAACAGTACTGAGGTGTAAAAGTTATAGGAGATATAAAACCCAAGAAAAGGGATTTCTTTTCACCTTGGCTTTGGTCTACGGTTCAGAAATAATATTTTAGTTACTAATTCTTCCAAACAAGTGACATTAAATTACTCACCGTGGATTGAGGCAGTCCTTTGCTGTTTCGACCTCTGAAAAAATGAAACGTTTCTTAAGTTCAACAGGCTAAACAAGCTAAGAAAAATATTTTCAAATTTAAAGTATCTTATAATTCCATTCAAATAAAGCATAGGTAATCTGTGGGGAAGGCTCATCTAATATTAAGTATAAAGGCTACCTAAGAATGGTTCCCTCTGTGCTTTGCTGGCTCAGAGACCCAAAACAGGTATGTATCACGGGAGGGAAGAAGGAGGAAAGAATGTGAACATGATCAAAATAAGTGAAGTAACAATAAAAATAGCCTACTGGGAAAAAATAACCAATTCTAAACATGATCATCTTTACTCCCAAACCCTCTGTTACAGAAAGCTACTTAGGAATAAAATATAAATTCTACTCCTAATTTAACTGACAAATTATTGAGACTGGCATCAAAGTCACCTCCCATGTTTTTCCCTTGCCTCTAAAAATAGGCACTATGTTTACAACTGCAGAAAAACATTTGAAAATAAGTTAAAAGCATTCAAAGCACTTTCACTTCTAAGTACCTCTGTCAGGATCTATATAACAAGTACCTTTCCCTGCCAATCCCCTACCTCGGATCAATGCAGTACACCAAAGTCAGCTGTCAAGTTATTTCCAGTAAGGTGAACTCAAGTGAATTTAGTTATACAGCATAATACAACCAAAGGCTTATTCCACTGGAAAAGATTAGGCTCCTTATGAAATGATAAAAACATTAGTAACATAAAATGCTATATTCCTCATAAACATTAATTACTCTGGAATAACAGGACTGGAATCTCTTTTTTTTAGAGAGACAGAGAAAGTGTGAGCAGGGGAGGGGCAGAGAGAGAGAGGGGGAGTCCTAAGTGGGGCCCACACTCAGCATGGAGCCGGACTCAGGGTTCAATCTCGTGATCGTGACCCTGAGGTCATGACTTGAGCCGAAATCAAGAGTCGATGCTTAACTGACTGAGCCACCCAGGCACACCTGGAATCTCATTTTAATGAAATAATCAAAATACTCAAGTCACAAATCCAAAAAGAAGCACAATTCAGGTCTAAAAAGTCTTAAGAGTTATGAATGGTGCCAATTCCCAGTAAAACAGCACTGACCCGAGAACTCCAAGGACAGGGCTGGTTTGCTCTCCAGCTAGCTCAGTCAGCCTCTCTTATCTAGAAAATAACATCTTAGACCAAAGCACCTCTGAAAGCCCTTCCATTTCTAACATTCTGATTCCGTAACTCTTTGCCTCACACACAGCACAGAGAAATTACTGAAGTTCACAGAATAGGACTAATAATCCCATTTATAATACTACAAACCAGATACTACAATAAGCACTATGTCAAATCTCTCACCCCTAACTTTACAGGTGAAGAAACTGAACCTTAGTTAAATATCTTGACCAAAATCATCTGGCTAATGAGCAGTAGAGCTCATATTTTAACCAGGTGATCCAAAGTCTAGGCTTTTCATTTCTAGGTTATATTCTGCCTCCCTAAAATTGCATCACAAGGAATAAACTAACTTCACAATTAAACCTGACCAAATTTTTACATTTTTTTCAAGCATCATTTGAATTTATTGGGTTTTTCTAATTATTTGTAGTCTGTAATCAAAGGCTACCAAATGGCTAAAAATCCTGCTTAAGATTATCTTACCTTAGTGGTTGCTGAGATGCCAGAGTTAAGACTTAAACAAATGCCACCAATTAAGTACCTTTAAATTCATGTGGCATTCCCACAAAGCTATTTAAAAGAATTTACAGACCCTCTATAGAAGTCACAGTATGTTTTTATTGATTATACAATTACATCTTTGACTAATAAAGAACTGTTTTGACAATCCATTTTACTTAGAACAAATCATTCAACAAAGAAAATAATAAAAGACAGCAGTATAAAATGGTACAGAGTGTAGAAACAACAGATTTCCACTGACCAAACCAGGAAGCTGAATAACCAAGGGGGAATGTTAGCATATCATAATAGCATTTCCTGAAGCTTATGCTACAAGTTCAAATTCATTTTTTTTTTTTCCTTTGGGGATCTACTTAGATTATGCTTTACTTTTAATTTTTTTTCTTTAGTGTTTTGGAACAAAGCATCTTAATGTTTCCTATGTAACAAAAACTGAATTTCAAAGAAGCCAAGATCAGGGTCACCTGGGTGGCTCAGGTCATGATCCCCGGGTCCTGGAATCGAGCCCGCATGGGGCTCCCTGCTAAGCATGGTTCTCCCTCTCCCACTCCCCCTGCTTGTGCACTCTCTCTCCCTCCCTCTCTAATAAATAAATAAAATCTTAAAAAAAAAAAGCCAAGATCATACTCTAGTCCTAAATATACTTATTAGATGGATCAGATTTAACAGAACAACCATATCCAGGATTCTATGCTTTCAATTGTTACTGAATATGAAGTTAAGGTGTGATTCAAAATGCCAAATTAATATAAAGAAATTTTTTAAATAATTGTTTATATTGCTCCAAAATAATACAGGAGGGAGGAAATAGGTGGGGTTGTAATGAAGACTGGCATGGCATGAGCTGCTAACCGTTGAAACTAGGTGACAGGTGTGTAGGGGTTCAATATATCATTCTGCCTGCTTTTTACAATTTCCTTAAGTTAAAAATAAAAAGTACCTTCTAATATGATGCAATTGGAGCCCGGATTTAAGACCTACTAGTTTACAGGAAACATGGTGTGGGAGAATCTATTAATTGATACCATGAGGTTATGAATCAGTTAAACCCAGAATGTGGTAAATTTGACATAACAAATGACAGCTTCTTCAACAAATAAGTGGCAGGAGAAGAAAAAAAACATAGCACAGGGAGGGAAAATTATAAATTTAAAGACACATAAATGAAAAGCAAAGTGTCGCCTCTCAATTTCAAAACTTATTACAAAGCTACAGTGATCAAAATAGTGTGGTACTGACATAAGGACAGACATAAAATAAAATGGAATAGAGGGCCCGGAAACAAACCCTCACATATGTGCTGAACCCTTACACCTTATAACATACACAAAAACTAACTCAAAATGGGTCAAAGATGCAAAGTTAAGAGATAAAACTATGAAACTCTTAGAAAAAAACATAGGGGAAAAGTCTTCATGACTTTGAATTTGGCAACGATTTCTTAACTGTGACACCAAAGTGCACAAACAACATTAAAAAAAAAAACAGTAAAAAGAATATCAAAATTAAAAACTTTTGTGCAAAGGATTATCAGAGTTATCAGAGTGAAAAGACAACACTTTTCAGAATGAGAGAAGATATATGCATTTCATATATGTGATAAGGGGTTCATTCCAGAATACATAAATAACTATAGCTCAATAACAAAAGAACATACAACCCAATTCAAAAATGGGCCAAAGACTTAAACAGCATTCCTCCAAGGAAGTCATACAATTAGCCAATAAACACGTGAAAAGATGTTCAACATCACTAATCATCAGTAAAAATGCAAATCAAAACTACAATGAGCTACTACCACTTCATCCCCACTACTATAGCTACTATCAAAAAGACAAAAAAGATCACAAGTGTTGGCAAAAAACTGGAAACTTTTTTTCCAATTGGAAAAACTGGAACCCTTGTGCACTACCTGTGGGAATGTAAAATGGTATAGCTACTGTGGAAGATAGTAGAGCAGTTCCTCAAAAATTTAAACAGAATTACCGTATGATCCAGCAATTACCACATCAGAATATATATCCAAAATAACTGAAAGCAGGGATCTGGGGACAACTGGATGGCTCAGTCGGTTAAGTGTCTGACTTCAGGTTCAGGTCATGATCCCGAGGGGCCTGGGATCGAGCTGTGCGTTTCCCTCTCCCTCTGCCCCTCCCCCCCGTTTGTGCTTTCTCTCTCGTTCACTGCTCTCTCAAATAAATAAATAAAATCTTAAAACAAACAAAAAAACCTAAGAACAATGATTTAACTTCTACTTTATTGTCCAAAATGTCTTTAATTTCTTAAAATAAAAAAATTCAATCCTCAAAGCCTTGAAATTCAAATGTCACCTTTTCAAGAAGTCTTCCTTGGATTACACCATCCCAATCAAATACACAGTGCTCTCTTCAACTCTCCAGACTGGAATCTGACAAAACCAGATTTGTATTATAGTTACTGGTGACCTATCATATGCCCACACTACTCAGGGCCATCACCTGACCAAACAGTGCTTTTGTGCAAATCAGAAAATGATGCTTCCTCCAGGGAGTCAAAGCCTCACACTACAGAAAACAGTGTCATAAGCAGGCAGTGCTTTTGTGAAAATTAGAAGAGGTACCAGAAATGGAGGTAGCCCCAAAGGCACATGGTGTGGCCAAAGAAAGCCCTGGATTTCAACATCCAATCATGTCCTTGGCCAAAAGCTCCTGGATGAAATAAAACCTAAACCAAGACTGGCAGACAGTATCTTATACATCTTTGTACCATCCACCAAAATCAGCACAGAGGAACCGTAGCTGACATATGACATATACTTAATAAATATCTAATGAATTAATGAGCCCAGTCAAAAAGAAAGAAGATGGAGAAAGATTTCAAAGTAATCATTACGTTAATCAATGGTCAGCAAAATACAGCCCATAACCTGTTTTTGTTGAGATTCTGAGCTAAGTGTGTTTTCAGGTAGGAATGGAGGGAGGAAGGCAGGAAAGGAAGGAGGAGAGAAGGGACAAGCCAAGAAGAATATGCAACGGAGAAGTTACATGGCCCATAACACACCTAAAATACTAACTCTCTGGGTCATTTCAAGAAAAGCTGTTGACCTCTGCGCTGAAAACAAAATGGCTGCGATGTCAACAACTGCAATTTAAAACATAAGGTCTACTGCTGTTTTACATGAACCATTATTCTAAAACAAATTTCTTGATAGCTTATTACTTTTTTCATATGTTTAATGTACACATAATTGAAAAACGTCATCAAAGTGCTCTTGTTCTTAATTATTTTTAAGGTTTACAATGGAATTGAGGTTGATCCAAATTTTGAAAAATCAAGGTATTTTACT